TCTCGTAGGGCGCGGACCAAATTGGCGGCATTTATTTTTACAGACCACGCGAGGCTAAACCACCCCTCTAAAATTATTAGGTACCCATACACAACAAACAGGGTTGCCGTCCCTCTCTCTTGTGCACATATATCGGTCGATCTCGCCGATACGGCCAGAAAGCCGCACGTCGGTAATAAGCGGGGTGATTTTAATTCCCTCGGCCGCGACCCCTCCTCGTCCCAATTCGACAAATGCTCTCTTCTGAAGCCGCGTACGTATATGAGGATCTAACATTTAAGGCTGCCGCGAAACACGCTCTGAAAAGAAAGAAAGAAACCCCACACTATTTCCCACCTCGTTTCGCGTATTTATGTTGCAGCGTGCTCACGCCAAGCCCTCAAATCCACCTCCTGACTTAACCGCGCGCGCTTCTCTTCCCGCCGTATTGTCCGTAGTTCTGAAACTCACCTTCCCACTCGTAAATGCACAAATGATGACACATACATGGGCTTGCGCGAAAATTCAACGGCGAGCCACGCGCGCTCCCGGTGGTACGCGCGCGCGCGCACGCAATATTAATTGCTCCGATATAGATTAACGCAATTCACAAAATCGCTGATTTTTCAGTCGCGAAGTGCGCGATCGATGGTGAAACTGTTCGCAAAGTATAAATGCAAATTTTAATTTATTTAATGGTTATTCGTGGGAGCTGTGCTTTATACAGAATATATACAGAATTTACGAGCGTATTCTTTGACCAATTTGCAATCAATTTGGTCAAAATAAATTTTGTCTGCCTTTTTCAGATACATTCTACACTTGTGCAAACAATTTTGGAACACAATTTCAATTTTTGCAAATAAATTATAAAAAATGCAAGTATAATGCCGTCGAATTATCGCGCGAATCTTGCGCCAGTTCGAGGAACTGCACTATTTAAATCTTATTCCGACAAGGAGTGAGGGAAAAACTCGCAGTTTCCAACGGGTGAGTCCACACTTTAAAACATTTACCGTGACTGCCCGCTTTCCACGCGCGACCTCTTTAATCCTCGCTATAATATCCGTTTCTCGACGAACGCGAAAAAGTTTTCCCACTTGAGACTCTCGTTAGTCCCGGCTCACGACGTTGCAACACCAACTCCGATTCCAAGATTTCTGCTCTTTCGTTCATCTTCTTTTGCAGTTGTGCCCATTTATGTATCAAGATTTCCGACAAAACATTTGACCAATGTCGTTAAAAAAGAGCTACAAAAAATATATATAGGTTTCGTCATTAAAAATACCGAAAAAATCCTTGTATAAAGAGAGAAGAGAAGAGAGAGAATACGTTTCGGATATTAAATTAATGTAACTAGATCGTGAATATAAATTAATCTTTCATAGCATCATATAATATCATTCGTGTTTAAATATTATATGCAGTGAATTATTCGATATTTTTCATATTTTATTAAACACTATACTTTCTTTCTGAAATTTTTTTTATTCAATGTGTTTCGCACCTTCGTGAAAGAAAGATCAGTTTTCAAATATTCCACTGATGAACGAAATGAGAAATCAATTTCGAATTAGCGTATGACAAATAATTAAAGAAATAAAATATTTCTCGTGAGAAATATAAAAATTAAAGAAAGTTTGAAGAACAAAGAAACGTCTGTCTCGCAGGCGATGACAAGCGATGATAAACACGAGCACGACAGCCGCAAGCGTGAACATGGATTATAACAACGACGAAACACGAGTTATTATTACGCGCGATACTCGTGATGTATACAACACGACGGTGAAAAAGGAATCGAGGCGCATTCGTGGGCGCGCCATCCTTAATAATTTCACACTTGAGAAAGAAATGAACAGCCTATTCATAATCCTTTCCCTCGTCCGTGACTTTTCCCCCCGCGCGCCCTCCACCCCTGCCGATCCCCGTGCGCGCCACCCTCGTAGCCGAAATCCCGCCAGAAGCTATCCGTTCCCCCATCATCCGCCATGCCATCTCCCCACGTGACGCAGGCGGGGTGCTCATTCATTTAATTTCAGTCATTGCCGGCAGTCGCACCCCCCTGTCGTGCGACCGACAAAAAATAATTAGTGAAGCCTTACACCCCCTCGTGGCACCTCGTTTCTCCCTCCCTCCCCCGATAGGCTTCGGTCCCCGACGACGACGACGACGACGACGATGATGACGACGGCGACGATAGCATGACGCCCCCTTTCAGCCCCACGGGTACGTACCTTGCGCTCGAATTCTCTCTCGCTCTCCTCCACCCCTGCCCCGCGCGCCCCCGTTTCCCTGCCAACCCAACCAACCAACGAATCACCCTCCTGCCCCCTCGCCAACTCTCCCGAACAGCAGCAGCAGCAGCAGCAGCAGCAGCAGCAGCAGCAGCCGCCACTACTACCATTCTACCGCCAAAACCCTAGCTCAGTCAGCCACCCGCCCTCCCCTCTGCCCTTCCCTCGACGCGGCCTCGGGCGGGATGATTCAGGCGCCAGTAGGGCGCACCCACCTTCAGCGGGTGGTTGGCGTTGGGGTGAGTCGGAGCGCCGGATGGAGGCAGCGGTGAAGGGGATCGGCGGGTGGCGCGCGGTAACGGTAGAGCACTGGTATAGAGTAGAGAGAAGAGTAGGATGGGTGTCAAGGGGGGTCTTAGGTGGGTGGAATCGAGCGGGGGCGGAGGGAGGAGGAAGGGCAGAGAGAACAGAGTATGTCGGGGACTGCGGTGGTACAGCAAAGCGAGGGAAGCGGAAGGGTGGAAAGAGAGGGAGAGAGAGAGAGAGAAAGAGAAAGGGAGTGAGCGAGCGAGCGCGCGGCGGGTGGTTAGAGGGCGGGGGGACGAGAGTGAGCTGCCAGAAGGTGGATTGAGAGTGCGGTGGAACGGGGAGAACGTGGCGCGGAGGG